ACTCACTCGCACACTGACACTCACTCGCACACTGACACTCACTCACACACTGACACTCACTCGCACACTGACATTCACTCACACACTGACACTCACTCGCACGCAGACACTCACTCGCACACAGACACTCACTCGCACACTGACACTCACTCACACACTGACACTCACTCGCACACTGACACTCACTCGCACACTGACACTCACTCACACACTGACACTCACTCACACACTGACACTCACTCGCACACTGACACTCACTCGCACACTGACATTCACTCGCACACTGACACTCACACACACTGACACTCACTCGCACACTGACACTCACTCACACACTGACACTCACTCGCACACTGACACTCACTCACACACTGACACTCACTCGCACACTGACACTCACTCGCACACTGACACTCACTCGCACACTGACACTCACTCGCACACTGACACTCACTCACACACTGACACTCACTCACACACTGACACTCACTCACACACTGACACTCACTCACACACTGACACTCACTCACACACTGACACTCACTCGCACACTGACATTCACTCGCACACTGACACTCACACACACTGACACTCACTCGCACACTGACACTCACTCACACACTGACACTCACTCACACACTGACACTCACTCGCACACTGACACTCACTCACACACTGACACTCACTCACACACTGACACTCACTCGCACACTGACACTCACTCGCACACTGACACTCACTCGCACACTGACACTCACTCACACACTGACACTCACTCGCACACTGACACTCACTCGCACACTGACACTCACTCACACACTGACACTCACTCACACACTGACACTCACTCGCACACTGACACTCACTCGCACACTGACACACTCACTCACACAGACACTCACTCACACACTGACACTCACTCGCACACTGACACTCACTCGCACACTGACACTCACTCGCACACTGACACTCACTCACACAGACACTCACTCACACACTGACATTCACTCACACACTGACACTCACTCACACACTGACACTCACTCACACACTGACACTCACTCACACACTGACACTCACTCGCACACTGACACTCACTCGCACACTGACACTCACTCACACTGACACTCACTCGCACACTGACACTCACTCACACACTGACATTCACTCACACAGACACTCACTCACACACTGACACTCACTCGCACACTGACACTCACTCGCACACTGACACTCACTCGCACACTGACACTCACTCGCACACAGACACTCACTCACACACTGACACTCACTCACACTGACACTCACTCACACACTGACACTCACTCACACAGACACTCACTCACACACTGACACTCACGTCACACTGGACACTCACTCACACACTGACACTCACTCACACAGACACTCACTCACTCACACTGACACTCACTCACACACTGACACTCACTCGCACACTGACACTCACTCACACTGACACTCACTCACACTGACACTCACTCGACACTGACACTCACTCGCACACTGACACTCACTCACACGGACACTCACTCGCACACTGACACTCACGGCACACTGACACTCACTACACACACTGACACTTCCACACACACTGACACTCACTCACACTGACATTCACACACACACTGACACTCACTCGCACACACATGACACTCACTCACACACAGTCACTCACTCACACACAGACACTCTCATCGCACACTGACACTCACTCACACTAGACCTCACTCACACACTGACACTCACTCACACACTGACACTCACTCGCACACTGACCACTCACTCACACAGACACTCACTCACACACTGACACTTCACACTCACACACTGACACTCACTCGCACACTGACACTCACTCGCACACTGGACACTCACACACACTGACACTCACTCGCACACTGACACTCACTCACACACTGACACTCACTCACACAGACACTCACTCACACACTGGACACTCACTCACACACTGACACTCACTCACACACTGACCACTCACTCGCACACTGACACTCACTCGCACACTGACACTCACTCACACAACTGACACTCACTCACACACTGACACTCACTCACACACATGACACTCACTCACACACTGACACTCACTCACACGCAAGACACTCACCACTCGCACACATGACATTCACTCACACACTGACACTCACTCACACAGACACTCACGTCACACACTGGGACACTCACTCACACACTGACACTCACTCACACACTGACACTCACTCACACCACTGACACTCACTCACACACTGACACTCACTCACACACTGACACTCACTCACACAACTGACACTCACTCGCACACTGACACTCACTCGCAACACTGGACACTCACTCGCACACTGACACTCACTCGCACACTGACACTCACTCCACACACTGACACTCACTCGCACACTTGACACTCACTCGCACACTGACACTCACTCACACACTGACACTCACTCACACACAGACACTCACTCGCACACTGACACTCACTCACACACTGACACGCCTCACTCACACACTGACACTCACTCACACACTGACACTCACTCGCACACTGACACTCACTCGCACACTGACACTCACTCACACACTGACACTCACTCACACACTGACACTCACTCACACACTGGAACACTCACTCACACACTGACACTCACTCACACAGACACTCACTCACACACTGACACTCACTCACACACTGACACTCACTCACACACTGACACTCACTCACACACTGACACTGCACTCGCACACTGACACTCACTCACACACTGACACTCACTCACCACACTGACACTCACTCACACACTGACACTCACTCACACACTGACACTCACTCGCACACTGACACTCACTCACACGCAGACACTCACTCACACACTGACACTCACTCACACACAGACACTCACTCACACACTCTGACACTCACTCACACACTCTTGACACTCACTCGCACACTGACACTCACTCGCACACACTGACACTCACTCGCACACTGACCACTCACTCACCACAGACACTCACTCGCACACCTGACACATCACTCGCAACACTGACACTCACTCACGACACTGACACTCACTCACCACACTGACACTCACTCGCACACTGACACTCACTCGCACACTGACACTCACTCACACACTGACACTCACTCGCACACTGACACTCACTCGCACACTGACACTCACTCACACAGACACTCACTCACACACTGACACTCACTCACTCACGTGACACTCACTCGCACACTGACACTCACTCGCACACTGACACTCACTCACACACTGACACTCACTCACACACTGACACTCACTCGCACACTGACACTCACTCACACACTGACACTCACTCACACGCAGACACTCACTCGCACACTGACACTCACTCACACACTGACACTCACTCACACACAGACACTCACTCGCACACTGACACTCACTCGCACACTGACACTCACTCACACAGACACTCACTCACACAGACACTCACTCACACAGACACTCACTCACTCACACAGACACTCACTCGCACACTGACACTCACTCACACAGACACTCACTCACACAGACACTCACTCACACACAGACACTCACTCACACAGACACTCACTCACACAGACACTCACTCACACAGACACTCACTCGCACACAGACACTCACTCACACAGACACTCACTCACACAGACACTCACTCACACAGACACTCACTCACACAGACACTCACTCACACAGACACTCACTCACACAGACACTCACTCACACAGACACTCACTCACACAGACACTCACTCACTCACTCACACAGACACTCACTCACACAGACACTCACTCGCACACTGACATTCACACACACAGACACTCACTCACACAGACACTCACTCACACAGACACTCACTCACACAGACACTCACTCACACAGACACTCACTCACACAGACACTCACTCACACAGACACTCACTCGCACACTGACATTCACACACACACTCAAATTCACATGCTTCATTCTATTTTATACATCTATAGTTTTATTGATCTTTGTGTTGTTGTTGTTTGACGTTTTGGTTGATGGTATAGAAGAAAGTTAAATTTTCTATCTGTGAATAAATTGCCAACAATTTGCCATCAAAAGTATTATTTCAGAGTCATGTTTTTATAATTTTTGTAATGGAACAAGTGTGGAGATGTTTTGAGTTGTCACTAAAGCAGCAAAAATGCATCTAAAAGTCTCTTTTCTGCTTGATATGTTCCTGTTTACATGCAGCTCGTTTTCTCTGTTTTCTTGCTCAGACCAGGTGTTATGGGTGAAAGTATGCTTTGTTCTATGGCAAATAACGCAAGAACGGTAAGAGGTAGAAACAAACTGTTTTTTTCAGAGTAAAGCAGAGAGGTGAATCTTTAATTTGGTGCCCTTGGTGTTTACATCGTCTAAAAAATGAATATTCTGTGGCACTTCAAAGTTGGGTCAAATCACCTGAAAACACTGGCAGAATGCACTTCTCAAATCTGAAAATGCCTGGCAGTCAGTGAGGTTAAAGAGCTTGGACCTGATCAGCCAAATATTACCATTAGTCAGCAGTCCAGCGACAGGGGGGGACGGTACTCGTACTTTTTCCAGGACCTGGTTCAGCGCCAAATCTTGGCTAGCAGCATGTAGCGAGGCTAATGCTTTATTTTGCTTTCCATGCCTCTTGTTTCAAACATCAGGATCTGACCCAGCATGGATCAAGACAGGTATGACTGATCTGAAGCACTTTTTAGAAAAGAAGCATGAGCAGACTGGTATCCACATGCAACATGCCCTCAAATTAGCTATGTTTGGGAAGATAAATATTTTCATCCCAGCTGGATGAAAGCTACAGGGTAGGGATCAGAAAGCATCCCTACCCTGCTGGTATATATCTAGTCATCATATTCATAGCCCCCCCAGTAGAAAATTCCACCAGCCGCCACTGTATAAAGCACGTGTACCGGGCTCAGGGTCCGTGGCTTGGCCCACGATCCTCTGCATCCGAACCTCTTGGTTCTGGCCCACGATCCTCTGCATCCGAACCTCTGAGTTCTGGAGCAGTTTTCTTCTGCGGATCTCGGCTCTGCGCTGAGCCGCGGACAGAGCTCCTGCCGCCGGCCTGTCCTCCGCGCTCTCCCCGGGCTCCATGACTCTGCAGGCGGCCGTGAGGAGCTCTGGACACCGGCCTGACACTCACACACCCACCGGGGAGCTGGAGGAGGAAAACAAAAGACTGAAGACGCCAACGAGCAGGTCCAGCGGCGCGTGGTGATGACGTCAGCATGAAATGACGGCGCAGAAAAATAAAATATATATTTTTTATTTTATGTCTGTTTCGTTCAGTTCCACAAACCTGCAGGTTTCACAACACGGTTTAAAACATGGGAAATTAAAATTATACATAATTTATAAATGACTATCTGTGGCTACATCCGCAACACGAGCACAAACCATAGGAAACATTTTATCAACATGTTTTGTTGTTAGCAGATTGTCAGTTAAGCTGCAGATAGAGCCCCCTGCTGGAGAAGTCTGGTAACAGCACTAACCTGTGAATTCAGCTGTCGTCTGTTCATTGCTGTTCACCCGCTGTCCCATTGTTTCATGGCGTGATGAGCCCCTGAATGCATTTCCAGTTTTGTGGAATGTTACAGTTGCTTATTTAATGTATCGTTTTGTTTTAATTTGCAACAGACTTATGCTTACAGAAAACTACATGAATGTACTGGACATTTAGATCTGCAGCGCGTGTGCAGCTCCCCCTAGTGGTTAGATCTGCAGCTCCCCCTAGTGGTTAGATCTGCAGCTCCCCCTAGTGGTTAGATCTGCAGCGCGTGTGCAGCTCCCCCTAGTGGTACAAAAGTATAACTACATGGATCATTTTAGTCATTTCCCACATTTTTGCAGTGTTTGCAAAACTTACTTCTTTTCAAGCCCTGGATGTTGTTCCTGGAGATGTTGTACACTATATTAAAGCATGTCTTAGCCTCGGTTCTGGGACTACAGCCTCAGTCCCGGGTTCAAGGCCTCGGTCCCGGGTTCCACAGCCTCGGTCCCGGGGTCTACAGCCTCGGCCCTGGGTCTACAGCCTCAGCCCTGGGTCTACAGCCTCAGTCCTGGGTCTACAGCCTCAGTCCTGGGTCTACAGCCTCAGTCCTGGGTCTACAGCCTCAGTCCTGGGTCTACAGCCTCAGTCCTGGGTCTACAGCCTCAGTCCTGGGTCTACAGCCTCAGTCCTGGGTCTACAGCCTCGGTCCTGGGTCTACAGCCTCGGTCCCGGGTCCACAGCCTCGGTCCCGGTGTAACGGGTCCACAGCCTCGGTCCCGGTGTAACGGGTCCACAGCCTCAGTCCCGGGTCCACAGCCTCAGTCCCGGGTCCACACCCTCGGTCCCGGTGTAACGGGTCCACAGCCTCAGTCCCGGGTCCACACCCTCGGTCCCGGTGTAACGGGTCCACAGCCTCAGTCCCGGGTCCACACCCTCGGTCCCGGTGTAACGGGTCCACAGCCTCAGTCCCGGGTCTACACCCTCGGTCCCGGTGTAACGGGTCCACAGCCTCAGTCCCGGGTCCACACCCTCGGTCCCGGTGTAACGGGTCCACAGCCTCAGTCCCGGGTCCACACCCTCGGTCCCGGTGTAACGGGTCCACACCCTCGGTCCCGGTGTAACGGGTCCACACCCTCGGTCCCGGTGTAACGGGTCCACAGCCTCAGCCCCGCCCCCTTTGAACTTGTTGTTATTGTATATTCTGTTTCTCTAATCTGCTGTTGGTGAATGGAGATACTGTGGTCTAGGGTGATACAAAAACACAAACCGACACTTGGACAAAAACTTGAGGTAAAAAGTCCCAAACATTTTATTTTCTCGTGGTTTCACCTTCAGTTTCTACTAAAATCATCAGCATTTTAATCTTTATATAACGCAGTCTGTTCAATGTACAAGCGTGATGAGAACAATGGCTTTGTCTGAGTTAAAGATTCCCCATATCCTATTATATTAAAATATTTCATATACAGAGACAGAGGCTTAATAATAATAATAAAATGTGAGTTCCCAAACAAGGCAATTAGAGCATTTAATCTGAGCTTAAATTAAACCATCTGCAAATGAAAAAACACAAAATACTATGGATTCTGGAAAGCGGCAAAAACTAGACTTTACATTAAAATGATTCAAGTTTGAAAGAATGTGGTTGTTTTTCAGGAAGATCCAAGGGTTCAATGTGGATTTGTCTTCATCCTAATAAAGTCCCTCTTGGTCCTGGTTCAGGCCGAGCTGGTTCAGGCCGAGCTGGTGCTGAAGTGTTCTAGCCGACATTGGTCAGAATGCTGATGGAAGACATGGCTACCAAGGAATGTCCCCTGACTCCCATTTGGTTGCTAGGATACGGGACCAGGTGAGCGGAGCAGAGTCGGCGCTGTGGTCAACAAGGCTTTCGTTACATTTTGGTGGTTTTAAATTTAGGTACCCGAGCTTTAAGCAGCAACAATGATAAAACCATAAAGATCAAACCTGATGTGGATTTAGTGAGAAGCTCATTTTAAGTCAAATATTGAGTTTTTGCCGCGATTCCAGATGATTTTAGACTAAATGTGGACACACAGATATAAAGACTATATTAAAAAGCACACGTCTGTAAATGATGTGAAAGGTGTTTGTACGAGGCGCTTTGGTTCAGGACCACATTCATCAGTCTCCTCAGTCACAGAAACAGGACGTCATGAGATCTGAACCCAGTCCATTTGTCCAGTGGGAACGCAGCCGAAGTGAACCACATTAGAACTGGATTCATCAAGTTCAGCTGGAAATAAAACTAAATATGGACAAGTTTAGAGGGAGTTTGTTAAAGGAGCACAGGGACCTCCTGCTGGGACTCTGAGGAGCACAGGGACCGGACTCCTGCTGGGACTCTGAGGAGCACAGGGACCGGCCTCCTGCTGGGACTCTGAGGAGCACAGGGACCGGACTCCTGCTGGGACTCTGAGGAGCACAGGGACCGGACTCCTGCTGGGACTCTGAGGAGCACAGGGACCGGACTCCTGCTGGGACTCTGAGGAGCACAGGGACCGGACTCCTGCTGGGACTCTGAGGAGCACAGGGACCGGACTCCAGCTGGGACTCTGAGGAGCACAGGGACCGGACTCCTGCTGGGACTCTGAGGAGCACAGGGACTGGCCTCCTGCTGGGACTCTGAGGAGCACAGGGACTGGACTCCTGCTGGGACTCTGAGGAGCACAGGGACTGGCCTCCTGCTGGGACTCTGAGGAGCACAGGGACTGGACTCCTGCTGAGACTCTGAGGAGCACAGGGACTGGCCTCCTGCTGGGACTCTGAGGAGCACAGGGACCGGACTCCTGCTGGGACTCTGAGGAGCACAGGGACCGGACTCCTGCTGGGACTCTGAGGAGCACAGGGACTGGACTCCTGCTGGGACTCTGAGGAGCACAGGGACTGGCCTCACACAAACACAGTCCATGTACAAACGATAATCGCTCCAGAGTTTAAACCACGTTTGTTCCAAAATATTACATTTTTCTCCAGAATTTTTTTTTCGTTTCAGAAAAGTTTAATTTGTTTTTATTGTTGGATCAAGTTCGAGACACAGAGGTTTCAGATCTGACTCAGAGACAAAAGTAGACAAAAATACTTTACTGATGGAGGAAGAGGAGCCAGAGCAGGAGGAGCCAGAGCAGGAGCCAGAGGAGGAGCCAGAGCAGGAGGAGCCAGAGGAGGAGCCAGAGCAGGAGCCAGAGCAGGAGCCAGAGCAGGAGCCAGAGCAGGAGCCAGAGCAGGAGCCAGAGGAGGAGCCAGAGGAGGAGCCAGAGGAGGAGCAGGAGCCAGAGGAGGAGCCAGAGCAGGAGCCAGAGCAGGAGCCAGAGCAGGAGCTTGGACTTTTGCCCTCGTCCAGAGTGGGAGAGAGCATTTGTTTATTCTTGGAGTCAATAATTGTCCGGTTTTGTAAGCTGGTCATCTCTATGATTCCTGAGTGCATATTCCTTTGTCCTTGGGGCTTTTCCCCGTGCACCTTCTTCAGAGGGCCTATTTTCAAAATCATTAGTATACAACATTTTAATTATGCAACAGTCTACAGTCTCAGTCCTGGGTCTACAGCCTCAGTCCTGGGTCTACAGTCTCAGTCCTGGGTCTACAGCCTCAGTCCTGGGTCTACAGTCTCAGTTCTGGGTCTACAGCCTCAGTCCTGGGTCTACAGCCTCAGTCCTGGGTCTACAGCCTCAGTCCTGGGTCTACAGCCTCAGTCCTGGGTCTACAGCCTCAGTCCTGGGTCTACAGCCTCAGTCCTGGGTCTACAGTCTCAGTTCTGGGTCTACAGCCTCAGTCCTGGGTCTACAGCCTCAGTCCTGGGTCTACAGCCTCAGTTCTGGGTCTACAGTCTCAGTCCTGGGTCTGAGACTGTTTCATGTTTCATTTTCTAAATCTGAAAAGACACTGTACAGAAGATGGATGGACAATCAGTTTTCTACTGTCACAAACTGAGTTTGAAGGCTAGCATCGAGCAAGAACGTTCTTCAGATCATATCATTGACCCAGCGCTCCTATTCCAGAGGTTTATCGTGGTCTCAGACTGGTAATCTAAGGCTGGATGATGTCATGTCCTATGAACTGTGTCTCGACCCGATGTCTTTGTTCGAAGGAAAGGGCATCTTACGTCAAACAAACAAACCGCAGCTCAAAGCGTTTGCGTTGGTTCCAATCTTCCTCCGGAGCAAATACAACTATTATTCAAATATGCATCGGCTGAATGTCCTTTGGCCTCCTCCGTCATGGACTCACTCCTGTCCTCGACTCATCCTTCGAACACACAACTGCAGCGACGCACAAGACGATGGTGACTGCCCCAAACTGTAACGACTCGTAACCAGTGGGAATGACCGTTAATAACACTCTGCCAAAACCACTGCTAACAAAGAGACACAACTTAACCCTATAACATTCACCCCTTGAAGAAAGCAATGTCATTTTTGTTTTAGATATTCTATGATGTAGGAGCACCAATAAGATATTAACACTGCCAAAAGGACAATATATAAGGTACTAAATCCTTGAATCAATGGTTTTTAGCTTAATATATTCTTGGCTTAAAACAAGATTTGCCAATGGAGCCGTTTAGTCTTATTTCAAGTGCTGTTGCAATTTATTTCTTATTCTAAGGAATTTCTTGAATGTTCTTGTATCTTTTCAAAACAAGACATTTTTGTTTTTAGACAGTCAAAATGTGCTCAAATCAAGATAAAAACATGAGACCCATGCATTTATAGCTATTATTATTATTAATATTATTGCATATTTTCCCTTTTTTTTTTCAATTATACTCCTTTACCAAATGGTTGAGATGCAGTTTGAAGTGAGATGCCCCAAAGAGGTACATTTCAGTTCCAAGTATGCTTCAAGTAGACATATTGACTCAAAAGGTAGTCTACCAAATGTTTGAGGAAACCAAACATCCAGCACCCAGCTCTCTGCAGGTCATTCACCAGGTCCCCCCGTGTGGTTCTGGGATATTTGACCCCACGGGATGAGATCTTGCGTGGAGCCCCAGATCGAGGGAGATTATCAGTGGTCTTGTATGTCTTCCATTTCCTCAAATCTTCAGGTTAGTCACCTGACTCACCTGAGGAAATGGGCGGAGTCATCTGTGCTCCTACTCAGTTTGGAGCTGTTGGAACGTAAACCTGCACCCACATGGTCCTTTCTGGAACCAGTTTGAGACCCCTGCCCTAAGGTGTACCTGCAGGAGGCATAGACTCTAATGTACCAGTGCATGTGGGCATTGCCAAGATGGAAATTGTGACAATATGAAAAATGATCCAGTGGTAGATGAGGTGTTAAAAGTTTTGAAAAAGTTCTGTGACGTAAGTGAATCAGTGTGGGTGCAACAAGGTTAATGGGGGTTGGAGTACCCCTTGATGTGGTATAAGGGTTTATTTGGCATCACTGGTAACCCTTCCATGTGAAAGATTGACCCTGAAAACCTGGATAAAAATACAAATGTATTGATTTATCATGAAAACTGACCGAGTTAGAGCTTCACATGTAAATGGAAAATGACTTTTAAACCGAAAGTCATCTTCAAATTTTGACACTTTCCCATACTCCGATTTTGTCCAACTTTTAGTATGTTATAGACTACACCCAGTTTAACATAAAGCCACAAAAAATAAAATTTTTACAATTTTTAAAATTAGTATATTGACCCTACTACTCAGTCCTGGGTCTACAGCCTCAGTCCTGAGCCTCAGTCCTGAGCCTCAGTCCTGGGTCTACAGCCTCAGTCCTGAGCCTCAGTCCTGGGTCTACAGCCTCAGTCCTGGGTCTACAGTCTCAGTCCTGGGTCTACAGCCTCAGTCCTGGGTGTACAGCCTCAGTCCTGAGCCTCAGTCCTGGGTCTACAGCCTCAGTCCTGGGTCTCCAGCCTCAGTCCTGGGTGTACAGCCTCAGTCCTGAGCCTCAGTCCTGGGTCTACAGCCTCAATCCTGAGCCTCAGTCCTGGGTCTACAGCCTCAGTCCTGAGCCTCAGTCCTGGGTCTCCAGCCTTAGTCCTGGGTCTACAGCCTCAGTCCCGAGCCTCAGTCCTGGGTCTACAGCCTCAGTCCTGGGTCTCCAGCCTCAGTCCTGGGTCTACAGCCTCAGTCCTGAGCCTCAGTCCTGGGTCTATAGCCTCAGTCCTGAGCCTCAGTCCTGGGTCTATAGCCTCAGTCCTGAGCCTCAGTCCTGGGTCTACAGCCTCAGTCCTGAGCCTCAGTCCTGGATCTACAGCCTCAGTCCTGAGCCTCAGTCCTGGGTCTACAGCCTCAGTCCTGGGTCTACAGCCTCAGTCCTGGGTCTACAGCCTCAGTCCTGGGTCTCCAGCCTCAGTCCTGGGTCTACAGCCTCAGTCCTGAGCCTCAGTCCTGGGTCTACAGCCTCAGTCCTGAGCCTCAGTCCTGGGTCTATAGCCTCAGTCCTGAGCCTCAGTCCTGGGTCTACAGCCTCAATCCTGAGCCTCAGTCCTGGATCTACAGCCTCAGTCCTGAGCCTCAGTCCTGGGTCTACAGCCTCAGTCCTCAGTAAATGATGAATAATAACAGTTGTTGTAGAATTAACCTTAAATGTTTTAATTCAAATTAAATTACTTTTGTTTTCTTCTGAACTGCCGTCTCCATGGCAACAGGGCTGTTTCAAAGTGACTGCAGTTAGTGTGGCCTCCTGCTGTGAGCTCCTCCGTCAGACATGGATCCACAAATTCTGCAGCAGCATGACGAAGCCATCCAGGTCAGTGACACAACAGATAGTTTATCTGGACTTTCTCATTATCAGGAGCAACAGACAGAGCTCTGTGTGTGGCTTGTTCAGTCTGAGGAGATCTGAGACATCTGCACATATTTCAGTTAAACATCCAGACATAGCACCAGGAGAACATGCAAACACACATGACCCTCCTGCTCTGGTTCAGACCCATGTCCTCTTTTGTTTGCAGAACCTCATGATATTTCAAATACACGACAACGGAGATCGACAAAACTTCCACGAAACCCTTCAGCGCTGGATGACTCTTATAAACTCAGCCCAGAGCAGAGACCTGGCGGACGGAGACTCCTCCCCCGGCCGCAGGACCACCTCCCCCCTGGTCCCAAGTCCAGAGAACCGGCCCTATCGTCCAGTGAACCAGCCCTATGGTCAAGAGAACCAAGAGAACCGGCCCTATGGTCCAGAGAACCGGCCCTATGGTCAAGAGAACCAAGAGAACCGGCCCTATGGTCCAGAAAACCGGCCCTATCGTCTAGAGAACCAAGAGAACCGGCCCTATGGTCCAGAGAACCAAGAGAACCACCCCTATGGTCCAGAGAACCAAGAGAACCACCCCTATGGTCCAGAGAACCTGGTCCTGGTCCGGCCCTATCGCCCCAGGAGCCCTTGCATTAGGGCAGAGGAAAGACCTCCTGTGGGAGGAGCTTCTGTCTCTGTGGGAGGAGCTTCTCTCCCTGTGGGAGGAGCTTCTGTCTCTGTGGGAGGTGCTTCTCTCCCTGTGGGAGGAGCTTCTGTCTCTGTGGGAGGTGCTTCTCTCCATGTGGGAGGAGCTTCTGTCTCTGTGGGAGGAGCTTCTCTCCATGTGGGAGGAGCTTCTCTCTCTGTGGAGGAGGAACCAGTGACAGATGAAGCTGTGTCTCTGGTTGCTCTGCTCGCACCAGAAGAAGAACCAGGAGTAGAACCAGGAGTAGAACCAGCTGAGATAAATCCAGGTGGGTTTTCTTTACAGGTTTTCACACCAACACAGAGAAACACTGATGCAGAGGAAACTATTTAATGTGATACATTCTGTCTCTGGTTCTGGCTCTAAAACATCAGCTTCATCAGCCAATCAGCTCTCAGCTCTGTCTGACCAGATGTAGTTCACTACATGTTACTTTGACATGTCAAGTACCCCAGCTTTAATGTGCTTGAATGTGCTTGAATGTGCTTTAATGTGCTTGAATGTGCTTGAATGTGCTTTAATGTGCTTGAATGTGCTTGAATGTTGCAGATCCCAGCTCCTCGTCCCAGAGCCACAGCCTGCTTCCACTCCTCAACATGGTCCAGGATCTGTCGTCCACCGGCTCCAAGAAGAAGAAGAAGAAGAGTAAGAAGAAGAAACGGACAAACTGCATCGTAGAGTTTTTCAGGAATCTCTTCACCAGAGTAAGGACTGCTGTCGCTGGTGTCTAAGTGTCACTGGTGTCTAAGTATCACTGGTGTCATGGCAGGTCGTTGTCATGGTTTTCCTTCTTACAGAGGAAGTCTGGGCCACACCAAAACATCTGAGGAAAGAGCAAAGCACACACAAATATTTATTTTTGAAAGTAATAAATTCTTCTGTGCTGTAAAAAGTAGTTTTTCTCTTCTTCCTTAAGAGTTTAAATACTTTTGTCTTTTTAATGGGAAAGGAACAATAAATATTGATTTGATAAAAGAATAATAGTATGTAGTACAGAGTAGAGTGGGGGCGGTGGAAATGGGGCGGTACCGTTGAACTACATACGGCTCCTTTAAAGAAACATTTACAGTTTGTCTCAGTGGTTTTGGTGCATTTCTCAGACTTAAAGGTCTCAAAACTATTAGTTCAACCTCCACTGAGTCATGTGTGACGTCATGTGTGACATCATGTGTGACATCATGTGTGACATGTGTGACGTCATGTGTGACATCATGTGAGACGTCATGTGTGACGTCATGTGTGACATCATGTGTGACGTCATGTGTGACGTCATGTGTGACGTCATGTGTGACATGTGTGACGTCATGTGTGACATCATGTGTGACGTCATGTGTGACATCATGTGTGACATCATGTGTGACATCATGTGTGACGTCATGTGTGACGTCATGTGTGACATCATGTGTGACATCATGTGTGACGTCATGTGTGACATCATGTGTAACATCATGTGTGACGTCATGTGTGACATCATGTGTGACATCATGTGTGACATCATGTGTGACATCATGTGTGACATCATGTGTGACATCATGTGTGACATCATGCGTGACATCATGTGTGACGTCATGTGTGACATCATGCGTGACGTCATGTGTGACGTCATGTGTGACATCATGCGTGACATCATGTGTGACATCATGCGTGACGTCATGTGTGACGTCATGCGTGACGTCATGCGTGACATCATGCGTGACGTCATGTGTGACGTCATGCGTGACGTCATGCGTGACATTGCGTGACATGCGTGACGTCATGCGTGACGTCATGTGTGACGTCATGCGTGACGTCATGTGTGACGTCATGTGTGACATCATGTGTGACATCATGTGTGACGTCATGTGTGACGTCATGTGTGACATCATGTGTGACATCATGTGTGACATCATGTGTGACATCATGTGTGACATGTGTGACGTCATGTGTGACATCATGCGTGACATCATGTGTGACATCATGTGTGACGTCATGCGTGATGTCATGTGTGACGTCATGTGTGACGTCATGTGTGACGTCATGTGTGACATCATGTGTGACATCATGCGTGACATCATGTGTGACATCATGCGTGACATCATGTGTGACATCATGTGTGACGTCATGTGTGACATCATGCGTGACATCATGTGTGACATCATGTGTGACGTCATGCGTGACATCATGCGTGACATCATGTGTGACATCATGTGTGACATCATGTGTGACGTCATGTGTGACGTCATGTGTGACATCATGTGTGACATCATGTGTGACATCGTGTGTGACATCATGTGTGACATGTGTGACGTCATGTGTGACATCATGCGTGACATCATGTGTGACATCATGTGTGACGTCATGCGTGATGTCATGTGTGACGTCATGTGTGACGTCATGTGTGACGTCATGTGTGCCATCATGTGTGACATCATGTGTGACATGTGTGACGTCATGTGTGACATCATGCGTGACATCATGTGTGACATCATGTGTGACGTCATGCGTGACGTCATGTGTGACGTCATGTGTGACATCATGCGTGACATCATGTGTGACGTCATGTGTGACATCATGTGTGACATCATGCGTGACATCATGTGTGACATCATGTGTGACATCATGTGTGACATCATGTGTGACGTCATGTGTGACATCATGCGTGACATCATGTGTGACATCATGTGTGACGTCATGCGTGACATCATGCGTGACATCATGTGTGACATCATGTGTGACATCATGCGTGACGTCATGCGTGACATCATGTGTGACATCATGTGTGACATCATGTGTGACATCATGTGTGACGTCATGTGTGACATGTGTGTGACATCATGTGTGACATCATGTGTGACATCATGTGTGACATCATGTGTGACATCATGTGTGACGTCATGTGTGACATCATGTGTGACATTATGTGTGACATCATGTGTGACATCATGTGTGACATCATGTGTGACATCATGTGTGACATCATGTGTGACATCATGTGTGACATCATGTGTGACGTCATGTGTGACATGTGTGTGACATCATGTGTGCCATCATGTGTGACATCATGTGTGACATGTGTGACATCATGTGTGACATCATGTGTGACATCATGTGTGACATCATGTGTGACATCATGTGTGACGTCATGTGTGACATGTGTGTGACATCATGTGTGACATCATGTGTGACATTATGTGTGACATCATGTGTGACATCATGTGTGACATCATGTGTGACATCATGTGTGACATCATGTGTGACATCATGTGTGACGTCATGTGTGACATGTGTGTGACATCATGTGTGACATCATGTGTGACATCATGTGTGACATACTTATAACTTCTGAATAGTCTTTCTCTATAAAACCAATAGTCCTCATTTCATCGCTTTGGTGTCATACACAAAGCTGTTGAACTAGTTCAAAACCAATCAGCAGAAGCAGGACACAGCAGCAGGACACAGCAGGAGGACACAGCAGCAGGACACAGCAGCAGGACACAGCAGCAGGACACAGCAGCAGGACACAGCAGCAGGAGCAGGAGGACACAGCAGCAGGACACAGCAGCAGGACACAGCAGGAGGACACAGCAGCAGGACACAGCAGCAGGACACAGCAGCAGGACACAGCAGGAGGACACAGCAGGAGGACACAGCAGCAGGACACAGCAGCAGGACACAGCAGCAGGACACAGCAGCAGGACACAGCAGGAGGACACAGCAGCAGGACACAGCAGGAGGACACAGCAGCAGGACACAGCAGGAGGACACAGCAGGAGGACACAGCAGGAGGACACAGCAGGAGGACACAGCAGCAGGACACAGCAGGAGGACACAGCAGGAGGACACAGCAGGAGGACACAGCAGGAGGACACAGCAGGAGGACACAGCAGGAGGACACAGCAGGAGGTGGAGCTTGATTCAGACCATTTTCTCTGCTCATGTCCAAAGTGAAATGTTAAATGCTTCATTGGTGTTTTTCATAAAACATTCCTCTGCTCTGGTCTGGACCAGTGTAAAACCATGAATCCTCTCTGCTCTGGTCTGGACCAGTGTAAAACCATGAATCCTCTCTGCTCTGGTCTGGACCAGTGTAAAACCATGAATCCTCTCTGCTCTGGTCTGGACCAGTGTAAAACCATGAATCCTCTCTGCTCTGGTCTGGACCAGTGTAGTCAAAAGTAAATCTAACCCTAACTTTATGAATGGAAAAGTACCAGAGCACCAGTACCAGAGCACCAGTACCAGAGTGGCAGTACCAGAGTGGCAGTACCAGAGTGGCAGTACCAGAGTGCCAGTACCAGTACCAGAGCACCAGTACCAGTACCAGTACCAGAGCACCAGTACCAGAGTGGCAGTACCAGAGTGGCAGTACCAGAGTGGCAGTACCAGAGTGCCAGTACCAGTACCAGAGCACCAGTACCAGTACCAGTACCAGAGCACCAGTACCAGAGTGGCAGTACCAGAGCACCAGTACCAGAGTGCCAGTACCAGTACCAGTACCAGTACCAGAGTGTTGTTATGGTGAGTTCTGCTTCAGTTGATGTAAAATGTCCAAATGTGCCATGTGAGTGTTTCCAATGAGAGAAGTGTTGGGGAACCATGGGGCTAGAACCCATGGGGGTACAACCATGGAGCTAGAACCCAGAGTAAACAGCAGAGCAGCGTTGGTCCTCCCGCCGCTGGGGGCAGGCTTCTCCAACACAAAAACAAGTGTCGCGGCTTCATGACGTCACAGTTCACAGATATAAACCAACGCGGCGCTGTGTCGTTGTGTTCACTTCTGTCTCATAAATATCTAACATTATAATCTAACATTATAATCTACAGAATGGGTCGTGAGTCCAGGTGAGAGCTGCTGTTACCCACAATGCACTGTGTCATATCCAGGTCTGTAGCTGAAGCTGTTGTTAGTTTCACTCCGCTTTGCTAGCATTAGCTTGTAGCATTAGCTTGTAGCTAACTCGTCTCAATGAAACCGTTTGGGCTCAAAGCTTTCTCAAACTGTGGGGTTAGGGTTAGAGGTTCTGCTCTGGTCCGTGTCACTCATGCACAGACCGATATTTACCGGTTCATATCTTTATACTGCTAACCATGTGTTCAAGTACCAATAATAATAATAATAATAATAATAATGCAGTTTCATTCAGGACTCTCAAAGTCTCTTCACATCATTCTTCTCTCTCTCTAAACACGGTGGTGATAAACTACTGCTGTAGCCACAGCTGCCCTGGGGCACACTGACAGAAGCCCCTCCCACCTCCACCAACCACTCACACACACACCAGACTCACTCTAATGTGGGGGAAGTGTCTTGCCCAAGGACACAACCACAGTCTGGGACTTTACAGCCGCCCCACTGTGGCACCTGCTGTTCCCAGAGGTCTCCCATCACAGCACTAGCCACCCCCTGCCCTTCTCATGGGCGGCACGGTGGCTGAGTGGATAGCACTCTCGCCTCTCAGCAAGAAGGTCCTGGGTTCGAATCCCGGTCGGACCAGGGCCTTTCTGAGTGGAGTTTGCATGTTCTCCCCGTGTCTGTGTAGGTTTCCTCCGGGTACTCCGGTTTCCCCTACCACTAAAAATATGTATAATAGTTCTGGCATGTGCCTCCTGTACTGGCCCCTCCCATCTCTGTGTGGAGTGAGAGACAAATGCCCAAACATAACAATTGTAAACCGCTTTGAGACTCAGATCTGCAGTGAAAAGGCGGTATATAAATAATAACTTACTTACTTAGTTAGCTTCAGAGGTCTGACAGGATCTGGCGTCTACGAGCTCAGAAGCTTAGATCGCACTCAACTGTTTCTCCATGATTATTCTGACCATGTTTTATTATTATTATTATTATTATTATTGTTATTATTATTATTATTGTTATTATTGTTATTGTTATTATTGTTATTATTATTATTATTATTATTGTTATTATGACATTGGTTGATTCTTTTCTGGTTTGCAAACTTCCTGTTATTGTTAATGAACTATTCGTTACTAATCGATGATTGAAATACATGTGTCAGAACTAATGTACAACCATAAAACAACCATAAAACAACCATAAAACCACTAATGCATTTATGTCCAAACTCAGGCCCTCAGTGTCACAACTTCACTGTGTCATCCATCCAACTTCAGCTCAGCCAATATAGCAGTCGTGCAGAAATTCCTATATTTCCCATCTCTCGTTTTCCTGGAAAGTGCTGAGGTTTTTGGCACCGATACTTTCATAATGACTGCTGTGGTACCTGTGGTACCTGTGGTACCTGTGCACCTGTGGTACCTGTGCACCTGTGGTACCTGTGCACCTGTGGTACCTGTGGTACCTGTGGTACCTGTGCACCTGTGGTACCTGTGGTACCTGTGGTACCTGTGGTACCTGTGCACCTGTGGTACCTGTGGTACCTGTGCACCTGTGGTACCTGTGGTACCTGTGCACCTGTGGTACCTGTGCACCTGCGGTACCTGTGTACCTGTGGTACCTGTGTACCTGTGGTACCTGTGGTACCTGTGTACCTGTGGTACCTGTGTACCTGTGGTACCTGTGCACCTGCGGTACCTGTGGTACCTGTGGTACCTGTGCACCTGTGGTACCTGTGCACCTGTGGTACCTGTGTACCTGTGGTACCTGCGGTACCTGTGCACCTGCGATACCTGTGCACCTGCGGTACCTGTGCACCTGCGGTACCTGTGTACCTGCGGTACCTGTGCACCTGTGGTACCTGTGCACCTGTGGTACCTGTGGTACCTGTGCACCTGTGGTACCTGTGCACCTGTGGTACCTGTGTACCTGTGGTACCTGTGCACCTGTGGTACCTGTGCACCTGTGGTACCTGTGCACCTGTGGTACCTGTGGTACCTGTGCACCTGTGGTACCTGTGGTACCTGTGCACCTGTGGTACCTGTGCTCCTTAAAGCATTTGACTAGATTCATTGGTCCCGCTGCGGTGACATTACAGGAGAAATAATAGAAAGTGACTTGTGAATTAGTGCAGATAAAAGACTTATGTACAGGCTCAGCAGTTCTCGTTGTACAGTCTGACAGCAGCTGGAAGGAAAGGGCTGTGGAAGACAGCGAGGGTGGATCAGTCTGTCACTGCTGCTGCTCTCCAAAACAGAGTCCAGACAGCGAGGGTGGATCAGTCTGTCACTGCTGCTGCTCTCCAAAACAGAGTCCAGACAGCGAGGGTGGATCAGTCTGTCACTGCTGCTGCTCTCCAAAACAGAGTCCAGAGTGTAGGGACAGATGAGGCGAGGTAGAGTTGGATGATAGGTCTAAAACGGTGACGATGAGGAGGAGGAGGAGGATGATGAAGGATGAGGAGGATGATGAAGGATGAGGAGGAGGATGAGGAGGATGAGGAGGATGATTGAGGAGGATGATGAAGGATGATGGAGGATGAGGAAGGATGATGAAGGATGATGAAGGATGAGGAAGGATGATGAAGGATGATGAAGGATGAGGAGGATGATTAAGGATGAGGAGGATGAGGAGGATGATTGAGGAGGATGATGAAGGATGATGAAGGATGAGGAGGATGAGGAGGATGATGAAGGATGAGGAGGAGGATGATGAAGGATGATGAAGGATGAGGAGGATGAGGAGGATGAGGAGGAGGAGGAGGAGGAAGGATGATGAAGGATG